AACCACTGCTGTAATCTCTCTTCTTGTTTATTTCTTTTTTTCTCCAACCACTGCTGTAATTTCTCTTCTTGTTTCTTTTCTTTTTCCTCTAACCACTGCTGTAATCTCTCTTCTTGTTTATTTCTTTTTTCCTCCAACCACTGCTGTAATTTCTCTTCTTGTTTCTTTTCTTTTTCCTCCAACAACTGCTGTAATCTCTCTTGTTTATTTTGTTGTTCGAGCTCCATTGTTGTAGGTTTTCTTGCCACTTCTGTAATCTTTCTTCTTGTTTCTTTTCTTTTTCCTCCAACAACTGTTGTAATCTCTTCTCTTCTTGTTTCTTTTCTCGTTCTTCTTGTTTCTTTTGGTGCTCTTGTATTGCTGCCATCAAGTCTGCTATGCTATAGTTTGATTTGCCGCTTCTCGTTTCCATTTTTTCTTTATCCCACTTCTGACACCAATTTGTTACGTCTCCGTTTGTTAATTAACTTTCGTAACTTCGTTGCGACGAAACTTTAGCGACACAAGTCCTTACTTAATAAAACTGGTTTACTCTTTCCGAATATAACTTTACGATGCACTTAATTTCAACAATCGTGCTAAAACAAACGCTATAACAACGAATGTGCTCAATAATACTCTCTGACAGCAGATCAATTACTCACTGTCTACACACACATTATTCCGTCACGTTGTCACCCTTTTATATATATATACCAGCCTACCCTATATCTAGTAATCTCCCGAAGGTTCGAGAGAAGTGGCGTGACACTAGTCACGTGACCTCGCTGACGCAGCATGTATATTATTTTTCTTTAGTAAACTATATTGTAAACTGGCTGGAGTACCTGTCCCCTGGACCAAAGTTATGTAAATTCGTGATTAATGAAAGGTTATCTTAGAACATGAAAAGTTGCTTCCCTTATATGAAATTGTAAAAAACGCCCATAAAATCTGCAAAACACAAAATGTGAAAATGCTAGTTTGTATATATATCTCCCCATGGACCTAATGAAACTACATCCAAATTTAATGAAGATCCATTGTCAGATATAAAAGACTGTTTAGTGTAGGTAGTATTAATTAATCTATTTGTGAGTTAATATTTCATGACGCAAGAATTACGTCGAAACATCTAGAGTGTATAAGATTGTTTTCCAGTCACATCA